TCTCTCTCTCTCTCTCTCTCTCTCTCTCTCTCTCTCTCTCGCATAAGTCGGGGAAATATCTTTGCGGATCGAGTCTGCACGCATTTAGTCAGCTCGATGCCGCGCTGATTATTATTGCGAAAATTAAGGTTTAATTACGAGGATTACACGTCGCCACTTGCCGTCAATTTTTATCATTGCTGCTCTCTCTTACCGTACCACGGTCGCAACAATCCGGGCGTGATATCGTTCGTAATTCGTTTGTATGTTTCTTTGTTTTTTTGTATTAAAATTCGTTTCGTCGTACAGTGGTGAGTCGATTTCGTCGAGTCGTTGTTTACTCGTGCGAGTTACGAGAATATCAAAACATTAATATTGTAATCTGACAGTATTCTCTCGGTAGCGAAATCTAAGCTCGTTCAATTCTTTTGTACAATCGAGATGGTGCGGGTCGTGCCGAAAACTCGTGGCCGTCGGACCGCGACCTGATATTGTTTGCAAAATCTCGCGCGCGGCAGACAAAGACCGCGCGCATCTCGCGCGTCTTATCTATCGTCCAGCGTACGACAGCGCATTCCATCGTTTTATCTAACGCCTCGCGCGACGAGTCATATATTAGAATACGAGCGCACGGCCACAAGCGGATATTCGACCCGCAAAAGATCGCGCCGAATTCTGCCGTCGATACTCCCCGTTACTATATAGAAAATTTCCGTACGACTTCGCTCACTATTTTCCGCGTATTTACTGTATATTATTTGTTTTTTTCTTCCGGTTCTTTGTATGATTTGGATGTATTGCCGAGAAGTTTCTTGGCCGGCCGCACGCCGCAATTATTATATTTGTTATTAAATTTCATTATTAATTATCCTCAACGAGCAAGTTTCCCGACTTTTCTTCCACACTGCCTCTTGAGCCCACGCCTCTCCGTTAGTTGAATAAACTGAGCTGTGCCGAATGATCTGGCCGTCACGTCGAAATTGTTGTCGAAATATTGGCCGTAAATTAAGATCTGTTGTGAGTGGCGTGATTTTCACGCCTGGAGCCCAATTTTTGGCTTAGGTGAGTAGAGACAATTTAATAATTCGATATAAAAGACGTGCCGCAGTTGTGCAGCGCCTTCGCTATAATATCTAAAAATAAGGTGCCCGTCAGGATATATATATTGTTGCGAGATGCGGCGCGTGTCGTCCACGCGGTATAAGATGTTCGTCGAACGATCGATCGATATAGAGGCTTTTGTTCGGGTAGCAATGGAGTTGTTGACGACGAGGTTCAAAGAAGAGTGAGCCGCCGGATTCGGAATCGTCGACAGGCTGGATCATCGGCTCTCGAGTTTTCTTTACGTTTTCCGTGGTCTTTTGCAACGCGTTTTCTAATAAAACTTAAGTGTGTTATACGCGGTGTTCTATTTCTTTCCGCAAAGCGCAGTAATTCGGCGGTGACGCGATTAAACGCTGCCGTGAGCGCAACATTTGGGGGCTCGTCCGGGATCTGAAAGTTTGAGCTAGAGAAAACGACGGAATGGCTTTGGTTCACTCGCCGCGGAGAACGCGTAACCAGACTGCGACTGGAGCGGGCGAGGCGCCGGCGGCATCAGCGACGGCGGCGGAAGGAAAGACTTTGCGTGCAATTTTGGAGGAGCTGAAGCAACTCCGGGAGGAGCGACGACAAGAGAAGGAGGAGATGCGTCGTCTGCAGGCACGCGTTCGGCAGGAAACATCAGGCGAGTCGTCTTCTAGTTTGTTGCCCGGTCGGGCGGACGAATTAGTTAAAATGAAAATTAAGCCCGACGTGTTCGATGGGAGCGTGCCGTGGCGTGACTTTTTTGTGCAATTCGAGCAGGTTGCTCGTGCGAACGGGTGGGACGACGCGGCAAAAGCCACGGTTCTCGCCACTAGTCTGAGAGGGGGGAAGCCGCGCTCGATTCTGGAAGGATTAGAAGAAAATTTTAGTTTTCAAGAGATTTGCGCGAAATTGGAATTGCGGTACGGGGAGCGTGGAATTCAAAATTATTATATGCAATTTACGAATCGGAAACAGAAGAGCGGGAAAGATTTTGCTGCACTTGGGGCAGATTTGGAGCGATTGGCCCGTCTTGCTTACCCGGAATGCTCCTACGAAGTCCGGGACACAATTGCTTGTGCGCAATTCATCGTTGCGCTCTGTGACAGATTCGTGAAGCGGACGCTTCAATTAGAAAATGTTTCTTCGTTACGAGTCGCGGTTGAGCGAGCGAGGGCGGTAAAAGTTATTCAGGAAGGTAGCTTTGAAAAGGGAGGAGATACGGAGCGAGACGGGAAGGATTTTAAACGGTATTCTTATTGAAATTGGAAAAGAGGAAAGGCCGAAAACAGGCGTGAAGAGGGAGAGAAGGCTGTGACTAAAAAGAACGGCGGGGAGAGGGAATGCTGGAAGTGCGGAAAGAAGGGGCACTTTCGCTTTGAGTGTCCGGCTATTTTGTAAGGAAACAAGACTTAGTCGAGCTTCCGGAGGTGGGCTCGGCTGTGGGGTGGAACACCCCGAAGAAGTTGTTTTCTGTCAAAGTTAATAATAAGAAAAATAATTTATTTGTTTATTCTGGTTTGCTGAACGGAAAACCGTGTTGTTTTAAATTTGACACGGGCTCCGATGTGTCTATCGTAAATTCTAATTTAGTAGGGAAGTCGCAATGTCAAAGGTTGTCGGGAAAGCCGAGATTGAGATATCCTACCGGTGAGGAAGTCCTGGTTTAGTTAGAATGTGTGGCTCGAGTGGTTGTAGGGGGACATTCTTTAAATATGCCTTTTTACGTGGCGAATATACTTGATGAATGTATTCTAGGGTTGGACTTCTTCAGGAAGACAGGTCTGAGCAGGGCGTTGGAGTCGCTCTTTGTTGCTCCCTCGAATGAGTCGAGAATGTCTTGTTGTCGGGTGTGTGACGCTTCCGGGGAAATTACGGCTAATCTAAAAGATTTTTATGAGCGAAATTCTGTTGATCTGAATGAAGCGCAGAGAGATATTTTTGCTAAGTTCGTGATTGAATTTCAGGATATCTTCTCTGATCAGATCGTGGCTGGGAACTGTGATGTTCTGCAGCATGAGATAAATCTTCAGGATCCACGCCCGATAAAGCATGCTCCGAGGAGGATTCCGGTGGGAATGCGGGCTGAGGTGGAAAGGATTCTTCAAGAAATGAAGGATCAGGGAGTCATTGAAGAGTCTTTTGGCCCGTAAGTTTCGCCGGCGGTTATTGTAAAGAAAAAGGACGGCTCTTTGAGGTTTTGTGTAAATTATCGCAGATTAAATGCGGTTACGATCAAGGATTCTTTTCCTCTTTCTAGAGTAGATGATCTTCTAGATCAGTTGTCCGGGAACGAATGGTTCTCCACTCTGGATATGAAAAGTGGGTACTGGCAATTAAAGATTCAGCCAGAGGATAGGGAAAAAACTGCTTTTTCGGTAGGCAATGGGCTGTGGCAATTCACGGTAATGCCTTTTGGCTTGTGCAACGCTCCGGCCACGTTTGAGCGCTCGATGGAGCGAGTTCCCCAGCAGTTGTTGACTAAGATTTGTTTGGTTTATCTGGATGACATCGTTGTATTCGGTAAATCATTTGAGGAGGAAGTGACTAATTTGAAGAAAGTTTTTCTGAGACTCAGGGCGGCTAATTTGAAACTTAATCCTAAGAAATGCAATTTGTTTAGGAAACAGGTGAAATATCTTGGCCATGTGGTTTCAGCTGAAGGGATCTCGACGGATCCGGAGAAAAATGCAGCTGTGAGGGAGTGGCCTGTCCCACAAAATAAAAAGCAGGTTCGCAGTTTTCTGAGATTCTGTTCTTTTTATCGCAAATTTGTTAAAGGTTTTTCTTTGATAGCGAACTATTTACTTTGACTGAAAATCAGGTGAAGTTAATCTGGACTGAGCAATGTCAGGAGGCGTTTGCAAATCTTAAGCAGACGTTGTCTTCTCCTCCTGTGCTCTCTTTTCTTCTTAAAGAAGGAGAGTTAATTCTGGACACTGATGCTTCTGGCCATGGTGTTGGCGCGGTTTTATCGCAGGTTCAGCGGGGGACGGAGAAGGTCATCACTTATTATAGTCGGGTATTGAATAAGGCTAAGAGGAATTATTGTGTTACTCGGCGCGAGTTATTGGCTATGGTTGATTCGATAAGATTTTTCCATCACTATCGGTATGGGCGGAAATTTCGGGTTCGAACTGATCGAGCGTCTCTTAGATGGTTGATGTCTTTTAGAGATTTGGAGGGTCAGTTAGCTCGCTGGGCGGAAAGACTTCAACAATATGACTTTGAGATAGTTCATCGGAGTGGTCGAGCGCATGGGAACGCGGAGGGGCTTTCCAGGCGATCTTGTGAGAAGTCTTGCTGCAAATATTGTTCTAAGATTGAGGTCAGAGACGCCTTGAAGCAGGAGGAACGGGTAGCTCGGATAGTTTTTAAAGAGTTTGCGTTTGAGGAATGGTGAAAGGATCAGTTGGAAGATCAGGCCGTATCGATTATTTTACAGGGAAAAGAAAAAAGTTGTCGTCCTTCTTAGGAAAAAGTGTCCGCTAGAGGCCCTTCTTCGAAGATCTACTGGGTCTCTCTCATTGGGACGCTTTAGTTGTTTGGGATGGAGTTTTGCATAACAGGTAGGTAGCTCCGAATTTAAAGTCGAGTTTTTTCAGGTTATTGTTCCTCGGAAGAGAGTTGAGCGAATTTTAAAAGAAGCTCATGATGCCCTTTCTGGAGGTCATTTCGGAATAAATAAAACGTTATGAAAAATTCGTAAGCGAGTTTATTGAGCTTTGTGCAAGAGGAATGTCGAGAATTGGTGTAGGTCTTGCAAAGTTTGTGTAGCGAAAAAAGGCCCTGCGGACAAGGGTAAATCTCCGTTGCAGGTTTTTAATGCCGGTGCGCCTTTTGAAAAGTTGCAAATGGACATTCTGGGTCCTTTTTCGGCGTTTTCTTCAGGGAATAGGTATCTCCTAGTGGTTGTAAATTGTTTCTCCAAGTGGGTGGAGGCTTTTCCTTTAAAGAATATTAGGGCGTCGACTGTGGCGGAGGTTTTTGTCAATCAGATAGTTTCTAGATATGGGGTTCCGTTGAAATTACATACGGATCAAGGTAAGAATTTTGAATCTCGACTTTTTTAGGAATTGTCGTGGTTGTTATGAATGAAAAAGACAAGGACTACTGCCCTTCATCCACAGTCTGATGGACAGGTCGAAAGACAGCATCAGACGATTTTGCAGTATTTGTCTAAGTTTGTTGACAAAAATAAAAAAAATCGGGATCGTTGGGTTTTGATGTTTCCTTTTGCTTACAGATTTTCTAAGCATGAGGCTACGGGGGTTACTCCTGCTGAATTGTATTTTGGGCGTGATTTGCATCTGCCATTAGATTTGTTACGGGGCTCTTCGCCGAATTATTGTTCAGGTTTTTCAGAGGATTATATTCGTGAAGTAGAGTCAAAATTGGAGGAGATTCATCAGGATGTTAGGGAGCGTTTAGAGATGAAGTCGAACAAAGCAAAAATGCGGTACGATTTAAAAGCTAGACACGTTCTTTTTGACGTTGGGCAGAAAGTCTGGTTCTTTAATCCTCGCAGGAGCAAGGGAAAAGCTCCTAAGTTGCAGAAGAATTGGGAAGGGTTTTACGTAGTTGGTAAGAAATTAAGTGACGTAGTATATTGTATTCGTCGCTCAGATAGACACAGGAATAGGGTCGTACACGCTGATAGGCTGGCCTCGTTTTTCGAGAGGTGGGAACACACGTCGGAGCCCTGTGAGAATTAGTGGGTGTTTGTTTTTTTTTTGTTTAAGATGTTACGGATATTTGTTTTTGTTATTATGTTAATTGAGTTTGGTTACTCGTTTTCTTTTCTTTAATTCCAGCGTTTACTCTGTTGCTACCCCGAATCTTTCCGTTTTGTCGTTGGACGTCGGGGGATTTTTGCTTCGCATCGAGTCGTCGCGGGATCTTCGTGTTTTGAACGCCGTGCTAGAAGTCCGCCTTACTCACGGTTTTGAGCGTGGTTTTCCGTGGGTCTTGGGGCAAATGCCGAAGCGGGGACCTGGGGTGTCCTTTCGGACGATGGGTCTGGAAGAGAGCGGGAAGGTTGACTTCTTCTGGTGGATCATCGGGACGATGATCTAGAAGAGAGAGGGGCAGTGTTGCGAGATGCAGCGCGTGTCGTCCACACGGTATAAGAAGATGTTTGTAGAACGATTGATCGCTCTAGAGGTTTTTGTTCGGGTAGCAACGGGGTTGTTTACGGCGAAATTCAAAGAAGAGTGCGCGGAAAAATGAGACCAATTAATTGGTTTAAAGAAAATATATTAATCAAAAAGTGTCGAATCCCCCTAATATTTTCAGTAAGAATGCATTTTAGAAAAATGTCCAATAGCAAAGTTGTACGGCTTCAAGCGGTTATGCTAGTAGGCTACGGCGGAAAACTGCCCGAAGGTGATCGCGAGAAGTTGCTCGAATGCGTGATGTCTGAAGGCGTTAGTGGGAATCTGCCCGAAAGCGTTGGCGGGGCCGATCTTTATTTTCTCACTCTTGCATGTACCAATGTACGAGCTCTTGAGCAAACAATACGGATCACTGATTTTAATCTTTGATGCATTGCTGTCTTCTTCTTAGCGAGCAGCAGTTACCTCGTGGACGAAAACAACCAGCCCCAAAAATTTTTTCTGTAACAAAAGAAGCCATTGCGTTTCAATTAATTGTCTCAAACATCTTCATTTTGTTTCCAATAGCCCAGAAATTTTTCGTAAATATTATTAATTGATCTATTAGATTTTCAGTTGCTCAACGAGCTTTTTGCTAGTGCTAGTTGAAATAAACAAATCAATAGTTGGACCAACACTTAATAATTAGTATTTTGATCTACTTAATTATTTAGATCAATTTTGTATCACTTACCTGATTAATTCTTGTTTGCTCTAATTAAGAATGGCGGAGCTTTCTGAAAAAGATCGAATAACACTGTTAATGAGGCGAAGATGGAGAGATCAACAAAGAATGTATAAAACAGTAACCCGATTATTTAATAGAAATTTTCGGAATGAAAATAATAGGATCTCTAAAAGTACTGAAATCCGTTTATTAATTTACTATTAAACGTTTCGAAGACAGTGGTAGCGTTAAAAGCCGCTCGAGATCTGGTAGACGTAAAACAGCAACAAATAATGATAAGGCATTAGATGTTTTACAGTCTTTCGTTGAAAATCCCCATATTTCCACCAATCGCGTTGCACAAGAACACGAAATTGGTCATGCATTTGTCAGTAAAATTGTGAAATTGAATAAATGGCATCCATACAAACTTCATTTGTGCCAAAAGTTGTCCGAAGACGATTTTGATAGACGCATCGAATTTTGTGATCTTATGATGGAGATGATTGTCGACGATCCTTTATCTAACTTAATAATATTGTTTTCTCTGATGAGGCAACATTTGAACTGACTGGAAATGTAAATAGACACAATTGTAGGTACTGGAGTGACGTTAATCCTCACTGGAAAAGAGACAATCATACCCAATATCCACAAAAAAGGAACGTATGGGCTGTTATTCTTAATGGTAGACCAGTTGGCCCTTTCTTCATTGAAGGCAATTTGACAGCACAGGTATACACAGTCATGTTTCGCGAACAAATTTCAGCTATTCGAGACATAGCTAATGGAAATATGGATGAAAGTTATTTCCAACAGGATGGAACTCCACCTCATTATGGTGTCATTGTCCGTCAATATTTGAATGAGGTCTTTCAGAACAGGTAGATAGGGTGAAGAAGTCATTGAGTGGCCAACTCGGTCTCCGGACTTGATCCCACGTGACTTTTTTTGTAGGGTTACTTGAAAAGTAAAGTTTATGCCACCAAGCCTCAAGATTTAAATGATTTAAGAGGGAGAATAACTCAAAAGATAGAACTAATACCGCCGAAAACGTACCGGAGTGCGGTTTCAGCTGATACATTTATAACAGATTGGCACATTGCCAGGCTGTTGAAGGGCAACAATTTGAACATTTGTTGTGAATTGTTTGATACAATTGAATATTGTTCCCAAACTGACCAATTGGAATGAAATTCGCCTTAACTGGCCGGACCCACACGCCACTCTTGTCTTAACTGGCCGGACCCACACACCACTTTTGTCTTAACTGGCCGAACCCACACGCCACTCTTGCCTTAACTGACCGGAATCGCACGCCACTTAACAAATTGTTAATTTTAAACATTTATAACTCAAAAAGTACTTAATGAAAAAATGTTTTATTATAGTGTTTTGGAAAGCTCTCGAGATAAGCTAGAAAACTATGCAATAAAATGTAGAGGGTTTTATTTAAAAAAATAAGATTGACCTTGAAATGACCTTAAAGGACATGGTCAAGATCAAAGTCAAGGTCATCATCTTACTCCTCGCTTGAAACTATGACAGCCCGATGCATGCTTATTTGCTGATCTTTGTTAATTAAGATCTCGGTAACTATTGCGAATCTAGCAAAATGGTATACGATATTTTGACTCAGTTTTATTCCTTTTATTTATTCACAAGAGATGTTACACCAATTCTGGGACACTCTGTATATATATACATATATAGGGTGTCCCAGAATTGCCGTACAATTTCTCGTAGGTAAGTAGAAAGAGTAAAACTGAGTTGAAAAGTCCATTTTTTTCTATTACTTATAATAAAGGAATAATTATTGAGTAAATCAGGAGCGCTCACGTACACCAGGTGCGTGGTTCACTGACATGCGCCTGGCTAAAGGCGCTGATTGGCCTGATTTACTCAATAATTACTCCTTTATTATAAATAATAGAAAAAAATGGTTCAGAACTTTTCGACTCAGTTTTACTCCTTCTACCTGCCTACGAGAGATTTTAAAGTAATTGTCGGACACCCTATATATATACAGGGTATCTCAAAAATTTTGACAAAGCCGAAGTATAAAGTTAGATTACGTTAATCTGAATAGAAAAGTTATATATCATTTTGTAAACTTTGCAATAGATATTGAATAGTTAATTAATAAATGTAAGCCAATAAACGCGCGAGAAGCAATGATCTGGACTCTGTAGGCGCACGCTTATCAGTTGTGAAGAAAGATGGCTTCTTTCATGCAATGTTTTAGCAACGAAAGACGGAGTAAACAAGTAAGCGCGACGTGTGACGTGTGGCGTGTGCCAGCTTTTTACAATCAGATATTTGGCGGTACGAAAAAAGCAGCTGAGAAGGTTACTTTCCGCGAGGAAATATAAAAATAATAGCGCTTTCCTATCCTCCTGTCACGAAAAAATATTACTATTAATTGGCCGAGTAGATGTCTGTCTTAGTTTTCTATATCACACGTTTTTTCTGTGTCGCTGTCGCTGCGTTACACCGCCGTGAGAATCACATGATCGCGAGCAAGAAGCTTCCTTATTTCTTTGCTGCTTTCTCTATACCGCTTAATACCAGCTGATCGCAAGAAGCTGTCACACGCCACACGTCACACGTCACGCTTGCTTGTTTACTCCGTCTCTTGTTGCTAGGACATTGCATGAAGTAAGCCATCTTTTTTTTACAGCTGATAAGCGTATACGCTTACAGAGTCCGGACTATCTCTTCCCGCGCGTTCATTGGATCACATTTATTAATTAACTACTTAGTAACCATTGCGAATTTTGCAAAATGGCATACAACTTTTCTGTTCAGATTGATGCAATCTACCTTCATACTTCGGCTCGGTTAAAATTTTTGGACACCTGTGTGTATATATATATAACCAAGCCGAAGTATGAAGATATATATAACAATATATTATATATATAGCATGTATACATATATATTGCATATACATATAAATAATATTAGAGACTCTTACTGTATTTCCGTTACAATGATCGCTTGGACGCGATCCAGTTGTTCCTGCAAGTTCCTACAAAAAAAAAAAAAAAATAAATAAAGAAATGAAATAATTTTTGAATTTAGCAACATCTTTTCTTTAGTTTATAAAGTAGCAAATGTATCTCCTACATAATGTCATTACATTTATATAATGTTTTTTAAATATTTTGTTTTGCACTTACCGATAGTCTGTATGTTCCATTGGTCCTTTATAACGTTCGACACAGAGTATGATTGTACATTTCTTTCATCAAAGTTACTTTGATAGTAGAAAGACTGCGATATCAATGGAATCGGCGTACGTACAGTGTTCGGTGTGTTGTCATAAGGATTTGCTTGCGAATATGAATTTGCGGTACATTGTAGTTGTGTATTATTTTGAAAGTTTTTCATTGAATATTGTGTCTGATTGAACGTCTGTGTGTGCGATTGTAAGTGAGACTGTGTTTCTGGCAGCATACTATAGTGCGCATTTGACATATTAGGCAACCTACTCAAACATTCTCTCATTTCTTGCATATCTTTTGACAATGTACTAATAACAGTATTTTCATCAACTTGTACATTCCCATTGGATGTACTCGGTACATCAGTATCCGATAAGGTCGTTTGATATCGTGCAGGCTAGTTAACGATTCTTTTGGGTCGGTCCATCTGAAACATTTACATATTAGATTTTCGTAATAATAATGGTAAATCTTTTATTTAAGGGAGATTTCTCTAATTAATTTGTCGTACATATATAATAAATATCATCCTCTTGAGTACGTTCCAAAAAGATTTAGCCATTGCTCATTGTTACTTAAAAAGTTATAAGTTAACAAAAACAATTTTATAAATAAATCATCGTTTTCGTGTATATTTTTGTTCCATGTATATTTTAAACATAATATATGATACTTTTAGACTTATCAATCTTTGATTTGAAACACTGCCTTCGTACACTTTATACGCGAAGCAAGGTAGAGAAATGAAACTTCCAAGTGGTATTTTCGTCCTTGATATTTCTCGCATCCTATAGTTTTGTTATTTTTGTTTATGTGGGAGAGCACACGGGACGGGCGGAGTTCATGTGCTCCCACCTAAGCATGTATTTTCTAAGTTTATTGGTTTTATCTTTATTTTTTATTTGTTGTATGCTAAATATTTATGTTTAACCTTTAGAGGGCCGCAGTAGCCAGTATAGTAGCCAGAGATAGACAACTATTTAATGTGCATATAGACATATAATAGGTGCATATGCATATATATTAACATATCTATTGCTTGAGAAGCATGTATTTTAGCACGTATATAAGGATTGCTCTGGCCACTATAGTGGCAAGCAACAAACTCGGAAACTTTGCGCAACATGTAAATCCTATACATTTTACGTTAAAAAAATTCAACATTTTAAAGGAAAACTGCCGGTCCTCTAAAGATTAAGACAACTTATATTATGTTTAAAATATATACGGTGTCGAGAAACGATAAGTTATTTATGAAACTAAGACTATGTAAGGCCTTACGAGCCGTTTCCAGGATGTTGAGTGGAAACTTGTAACGTGTATATATATATATGTGTATATATATATATTGTGACGGGCACCTCGTTTTGGGATATTGTAGCGGAGGCGCCGCACAACTTCGGCACGTCTTTTTTTCTTCACCAGACTATTAATTTCTCTCTACTCACCTAAGTCGAAAGTTGGGCGCCAGGCGTGAAAATCACGCCACTCACAACAAATCTTAATTGGCAGCAAAAAAAAATCCCGACAACAATTTCGACGTGACGGCAAGATCACTCGGCACATTTCAGTTTATTCAGATAACGGAGAGGCGTGGGCTCAGGAGGCAGTGTTTGAAATAAAAGTCGAGACACTTGCTCGTTGATGGTACTGAAAACAATAGAATTTAATAATAGATGTGATAATTATGGCGTGCGGCCGGAAAACTCTCGGCAATACATCAAAATCATACAGTGAAAAAAACATAAAGTAAATACGTGTACACTAGTGAGCGAAGTCGTACAGAAAGATTCTTTCTCGTAACGAGTGATATTGGCAGCCGAATCCGGCGCGATCTTTTGTCGGTCGAAGATCCGCTCGTGGCATTGCGCTCGTATTCTAATGTATGACTCGCCACGCGAGGCGTTAGATAAACGATGGAATGCGCTGTCGTACGCCGGGCAATAGATAAGACGCGCGATAGGCGCGCGGTCTTTGTCTGGTGCGCGCGAGGTATTGCATACAATATGATGTCGCGTTCCGAAGGCCACGAGTCGTTCGGCACGATCCGCACCTTCCGGTTTTGATTGTTAAAATTGAACTCGCTTAGCTATCGCTTCTGAGATGATACTTTAAGAATACAATGTTTTAATATTCCCGTATATCGCGCGGGTAAACGGCAACTCAACGAAATCGGCTCACAACGGTACGGTGAAAAGAATATAAATACAAAAAAAAAAAAAACAATATACAAACGAATTACGGACGATACAACGCCCGGATTGTTGCGACCGTGGCACGGCGAGAGAGAGCAGCAATTCTAAGAATTGTCGACAATTGGCGACGTGTAATCCTCGTACTTAAAAAAATAATCTTCACAACAATATTCAACGCGGCATCGAGCTGACGAAACGCGTGCAGACTCGATCTGCGAAAATATTCCACACGACGTATGCGAGAGAGAGAGAGCGAGTAGTCACTTACGCTTGTCGGCACCTTATTCCTGCAGTTTGCCTGTCAAATCGGCAACTCTCGGCCCTATCCAGTCCTCTCAAGGTCGCTCGGGTCCTCCTCAGGTTCTCGTCACTCCGGCACACACTGTCACTCGGCACTTATTTTAGGCGGGGAACTTGCGAGTACCACGGCGCGCACAACAATGAATCTCGCCGGTACGGTAA